ATATTTGCTTGGAAGCAATATCCTTTCAAAGTGATTGTAATCTGCTTCTAAGTAAATAATTGAAGCTTGAACTTGGAAGTATAAAATCAAGTTTTATTGTTTTAGGAGCTTTTTTATTTTAAATGCAATACTTCAAAACTTTAAACTGAACTCACCTACAAGTCTGTACCACTTATCTGGAAGCTGAACCGAAATCAGTTAGACTTCCAAAGAAATAGGCGTGGATAAGCACACTGTGCCAAGCCAGATGGGTAAACAAGCCAGTTCATACCATGTCTATGATTTCGCCAGGTAACATGTTTATGAGCTTTCCAAAATGTATACATGACGTTAATAGGGTTACTGGAAATTATTGATATGGTTGGAATTTTCATCTTAGCAGAACGTTAGAACTGTGCAAAGGAAAATGTGGAAATGGAACAGCTTGTTTTTTACTTTAAGGTGGAATTTGTAAAGAGATAACTATTTTATTGTTGAACAAGAAGATTTTCTTTTCTATTAAAAATGCTTTCAATACCATTTTACTAGGTAGACTCAAAGGTCGGTAATTCTTACAATTATTTACCATAGGCAGCAACTGAAGTACCAACATGAAGGAAACAGTGTAGGACAGCGTTTCTCAACCTGGGAGTTAGGACGCCTGAGGGCGTCACCTAAGACCATCAGAAAACACAGAATTTTCTGTTGGTCATGGGGGTCCTGTGTGGGAAGTTTGGCCCAATTCTATCGTTGGTGGGGTTCAGAATGCTCTTTGATTGTAGGTGAACTATAAATCCCAGCAACTACAACTCCCAAATGTCAAGGTCTATTTTCCCCAAATTCCAGCAGTTTTCACATTTGGGCATATTGAGTATTTCTGCCAAGTTTGGTCCTGATTCATCATTGTTTGAGTTCACAGTGCTGTCTGGATGTAGGTGAACTACAACTCCAAAACTCAGGGTCAATGCCCACCAAACCCTTCCAGTATTTTCTGTTGTTCATGAGAGTTCTGTGTGCCAAGATTGGTTCAATTCCACCGTTAGTACAATTCAGAAGGTTCTTTGATTGTAGGTGAACTACAACTCCCAAATGACAAAATCGATACCCCCCCCCCAACCCCACCAGTAATTCCAATTTGGGCGTATCAGGTATTTCTGCCAAATTTGGTCCAGTGAATGAAAATACATCCTGTTTATTGATATTTACATTATGATTCATAACAGTAGCACAATTACAGTTGTGAAGTAGCAACGAAAATAGTTTTATGGGTGGGTCACCACAACATGAGGAACTGCATTAAGGGTTTGCGGTATTAGGAAGGTTGAGAACCACTGGCATAGGATGAGAAGTAATGACTTGCAGGGACCAAGAAAAGGAGGAAGAAAGAACTTTTGTGGCCAAAGGAGAACGGGGGTTGTTGTGTAGTGTTTTAATTATTCTAACAATTGCTGCTTGTTTTATATGATTTTAACTTATTTAATAATTATAGGCTTAATTGTATTTTATTATTTTATGTTGCAGGTTTGAAATTGCATGGCTTTAAATGTTGTGAGCTGCTTTGGATCTCAATCAAGAGAGAAAAGTGGGGTACAGATAAATATAACAATATAGTAATGATAAATAATATAATACACATAATAAAAATGAAAATGTAGAGATGTAGGTGTGTATGTGCCTGGAGTGTCCACTTACACAGACAAGTTCCTGCCTCCACAAACAGCTATAGCTCCTACTGCTCAGGAGACACCAATGGCCCTCCCTGCAATGACATTGCAGGTTATAGTGAGCCCCATGAACATGTACAAGAGCCCTGCCAGTGTCCCCCACAAACGTCATACTGCCCACCACTCAAGTGAAGGTTTTATGTGTTTCCTCCATGCCAGACATCCCAGTGTTTCCGACTCTCTCCATTGGTTTGAAATTTGCATGACACCGCCCGCTGCCTCTCCCTTAACCCTTTGCTATTCTTTTATATGGCACACAGCGAACAGAGGAATTGATCAGCAACTGAACATATTAGAGAGGTTGGGGGAGAATACACCATGATTTATAGGAGTTGTAGGTACTGGGATGTATAGTTCACCTGCAATCTAAGAACTGTATTCTGAACTCCACCAACGATAGACTTGGAACTAACTTGACACACAGAAGCCCCATGACCAAGAAAAAATACTTGAGGGATTTATAGAAGTAGTCCCCTTCGGGGTAAGAAGGGTGGGATATAAATGTCGTAAATAGAGTGAACTATCAACCCAAACAAGGGTGGATCTGGACCAAACGTGGCATGCATACTCAATATGCCTGAATTTGAATACCAGTGGGTTTTGAGGGGAATTGGCCTGGACATTTTGGAGTTGTAGGTACTGGGATTTATAATTCACCTGCAATCAATGAGTACTCTGAACTTCACCAAAGACGGAACTGGACCAAAGTTAACACACAGAGCCCCCATGACCAGCAAAAAATAAGAGGTCTTTGGGAAAAATTCACCTTGATTTGGGGGAGTTGTACTTCACCTGCACTGTGAACCCAAACACTGGTGGATTGGGACCAAACTTGGCAAACATACCTGATATGAAAAAATTTGATTACTGGGGGGTTTTGTGGGAACTAACCTTCCTTTGTGGGAGTTATAATTCACCCACAACCAGAGACACTCTGACCTCCACCAATGACGGATCTGCACCATGACCAACTGAACCTACTGGAGGGGTTTGAGGGGACTGACTCACCATAGTGGGAGTTGTAGTTTACCCTGCAGCCAGAGAGCACACTGAACCCCACCAATGATGCATCTAGAGCAAACTTGCCAACATAACAAACTTTTAAGTACTGATGGAATTTTTCAGGGTTAACCTGGCATGATGTGAGTTGTAGTTCATCCACAACCTTATGCATTTTGTACAATTAAAAAATGACTTTTTCAAATAACCCAGGCAATGCCGGGTACCAAAGTAGTAATATAATAAATAGAAGATGTGAGAGGAGAAGGGGAAGAGGAGTAGGATTAAAATGGAGGAAGAAGATGCAAAAGGGGGGGGGGGAGAAAAAATGAAGAAGGGGAGTGGGAGGGAAGAAGAAGAAGAAAAGAGATGAGGAAAAGAAAAAAGGACAGAAAGGGAGAAAAAGGAGAGGAAGAAGGAGAAGGGGAAGAAGAAAAAATGAAAGGAGCAAGGAGGGAAGAAGGGGGGAGGGAAATGAAGAGAAAGGAGGAGGAAAAGGAGGAGAGGAAGCAGAAGAGTTCAGAGTGACCATGACTCCAATTCCTTCTTCCTGGTTGGGTCTCTTCCTTTTAACATTTTGGGAGGATGTGCCACAAAGCTGGCCTTCCTGTCATCTTTCTTGGCAGAGAGAAAGCCAGGCTCTGGAAGAGTTTCTTTCCCAGCTTCCAGGCAGAAAGAGGGGAGGGAGGGGGGAGGGAGAGAGGAAGAGCCAGAAGTTGGAAGTTCCAAGTGCATCCTCTTCCGGGAAGCGCAGGCAGGAAGTGTTCCTCTCTCTCATTTTTACTCTCAAAAGGAAGGACATTTTCAGCTAGCAAGGCGTTCTTCACACTTCCCTAAAGCGGAGGAGGGGAAAGACCAGCTTCACATTTGCGGAGTTTCCCTGTTTCCCCCTTTCACTGGTTAGCCTCCCTCCCACCCACCCACTCTCTCTTTCACACTCACACACATTCGCCTTTACCTGGGAGAAAAGCCCTGACCCAATACAACAATTTTGTTGAACAGACATTATGGCGAGGGAGTTGGAAGCAAGAAACCCAAGAGACACCCAAGCTGCACACAGAGAGGACCTTTGGGTGCATTCACACTGCAGAATCAATGAACGCAGTTTGGATTCACTTGAATTGCCACGGCACAGGGCTACAGAGGAACCCCCGAAAGCTGCACCTTGTGTTTCTTTTTTTCGTGTCAGGAGTGACTTGAGAAACTGCAAGTCGCTTCTGGTGTGAGAGAATTGGCCGTCTGCAAGGACACTGCCCAGGGGACACCCAAATGTTTTGATGTTTTACCATCCTTGTGGGAGGCTTTTTTCATGCCCCGGATAGGGAGCTGGAGCTGACAGAGGGAGCTCATCCACACTCTCAAACCTCTGACCTGTCAGTCTTCAGTCCACAAACACAAGGGTTTAACCCTTGCACCACCAGAGGCTCCTGCACCTTGGTGTGGAAAGCACCTCCAATGTCTCCAATGCTAGCATTGAGTCATGGCAGGTCAAGTGGGGTCAAATTCAGGTCTTCCAGTTGCTTGGGACTTCAGTTCCCAGCATCCCTGATCATTAAACAAAGCAACTGGGGCTTCTGGGAGTTGAAGTTCAACATTTACTTGGTGGGTTGTGGTGAGTTTTTTGGGCTGTATGGCCATGTTCCAGAAGCATTCTCTCCTGATGTTTTGCCTACGGTAGGCATCCTCAGAGGTTGTGAGGTCTGCTGGAAACTAAGCAAGGAAGGTTTATATATCTGTGGAATGTCCAGGGTGGGAGAAAGAATTCTTGTCTGTTGGAGGCAGCAGTGAGTGATGCAATTTTACCTTGATCAGCATTGCAAAGCCTTGAAGTTTCAAGGCCTGGCTGCTTCCTGCCTGGGGAATCCTTTGTTGAGAGGTGTTAGCTGGCCCTGATTGTTTCATGTCTGGAAATCCCATTTTTTGAGTGTTGCTCTTTACTTACGGTCTTTTTTTTTTTAAGCAGTCTGGTTTTCTTTATTGTACATGTAATCCCCTGGAACCGGTTCTTCAACCGCATTGTGGTGAGCGTGTTGGGGACCGGGCTCCTCTTCCGCCCAGGCTGGGGTTCTGCTTCTTGAGAGCCGGGCTCCGCAGCGCCACCCGCCGGAAACAGCGGCGCGCCCCAAAAGTCGGAGGAAGCCCGTGCCGCTCTCCCCAAACAGAAACCCGGATATTTCCCAAGTTTGCAAGCGCTGGGCTCGGAGGTCCAGGGAGGACGCGGCGGGACCTCTGTCCCCACTCCCTGCCACGAAATAACCCCGCCACTCGGCTTCCTTCCTCTCCCCCATCCCTTCTTACCGTGCCCGGGGGGCGGCCGCTGCTCCGTCGCGAACCTCCAGCGTGGCTGCAGCTGCCGGGTTTCCTCCTCCTCCTCCTCCTCTTCTCGGCGTCCTCTGCGAGGCAGCTGCTCTGGCTCCTGCCTCAGTTTCCTCTTCGTCGCCCGCCTCGCTCTGCTTGAGCCCTCCAGCCAGGAAAGGAAGGCAGCCGCATGGGGCCCGGAGGCCTCGCCACCCGAGCAGGAGAAAGAGACAAGCACGGAGGGCCAGAGAGAGAGAGAGAGAGGAGTGAGGGGCGGAGGCACAGCCCGCTAATGGAGAAGCGCAGGCCCCGCCAGAGCCTGCCCACTAGGCGAGAGGGAAGCCCTCCAGGTCCAAGGAGGCACGCAGCCAGGCCCTTGCACTCCTCTCCTCTCTTCCCTTCCCTTCCCTGCCTCTCTCACCAACACTCCCACTTCCAGCCTCCTTACTCTCTTTCCTAGCCTTCCTCTCGCTCTTCACGCACTCTTCCTCTCGCTCCAAAGTCTCTCTTTCTCTCTCTTCACACACGCGCGCGAGCTTGATCTCTCCAAAGTCTTTTTCACACAAACATTCTTTCTCTGGGCCAACTTGGGCCCTCCAGGTGTTTGGGACTTCCACAATTCCTAACAGCCTCAGGCCCCTTCCTTTCCCCCCTCAGCCACTTAAGCATGGCAATACTTTTGAATTTAATTTAAAACCTAAAAATATGCAAACATTAAAACACAATTTTTCTCTGCTGTATGTGATCTCCCCCCCCCCCCCCCCCCCCCCACACACCATACAGTTCCGAACTTCTGGACACAAATCCCAAGGCTTTTAAGCCTCTATGTCAAACAGGCATGTAGCGGGGGGAGGGGGGGGAGGCTTGAGGGGCTTCAGCCCCCCCCCCCTGAAATTCTCAGAGTGGTCCATGAGAAGGCCTTACTGGTACATTATTTAAACTGTTTGTTGTTCATTCGTTCAGTTGTTTCCGACTCTTTGTACCTCGTGGACCAGCCCACGCCAGAGCTCCCTGTCGGCCGCCACTACCCCCAGTGGTGGATTGGGGAAAAGAGTATTAACATTTCTCCTTCACTCGCTTGATCTTTGTTAAATCTCTATCCTGAAAACAACAGCTGTGCTTACTTGGCAGTATCTTCACTGTTTCAGGCAATACTTTACTTACTTAGGCGATCCCTCGTTGGACAAGTAAGATGGTCTTCCATTATGGATTTCCTTGTGGGTTCGTAGGTGGCTGTGGAGCCATATTCTTGACCTGCATCTTCTCCCACAGTGAGGGCATTGGTTTCCAGGTGGAAGGCGGTCCCGGTCGGGGGTGGCTTGACGCCTTCCTCCTGGCACGTTTTCTCGCTTTCACCCTCCAATCGTGCCTCCTCGAATTCTGCAGCACTGCTGGTCACAGCTGACCTCCAGCTGGAGCGCTCAAGGGCCAGGGCTTCCCAGTTCTCAGTGTCTATGCCAGAGATTTTAAGGTTGGCTTTGAGGCCATCTTTAAATCTCTTTTCCTGTCCACCAACATTCCGTTTTCCGTTCTTAAGTTCAGAGTAGAGCAACTGCTTTGGCAGGCGGTGGTCAGGCATCCAGACAACGTGGCCGGCCCAGCAGAGTTGATGGCACAGGACCATCACTTCAATGCTGGTGGTCTTTGCTTCTTCCAGCATGCTGACATTTGTCCGCTTGTCTTCCCAAGAGATTTGCAGGATTTTCCGGAGGCAGCGCTGATGGAATCGTTCCAGGAGTTGCATGTGACATCTGTGACTCTCCATCTTGCAGGCATATAGCAGGGTTGGGAGGACAATAGCTTTATAAACAAGCACCTTGGTATCCCTACAGATGTACTCAAACACTCTCTGCTTCATTCGGAAAAATGCTGCACTCGCAGAGCTCAGGCGGTGTTGTATTTTGGTGTCGATGTTGACTTTGGTGGAGAGGTGGCTGCCAAGGTAGTGGAAGTGGTCAACATTTTCTAATATTACACCATTAAGCTGTATCTCTGGCATTGGGGAGGATCCCAATGACCAACACAAAATACTATCTTTTCTGATTTTCTTTGGAGACCCCTCTGACACCCCTTATGACCCCCAGGTTGAGAAACACTGCATTTGAGAGAGAAAGGGGGTAGTGTGCACCCAAACAATTTTCCTTTCACTTTAGTGATTAAATATGCACTAATAGCACACATTTGCTTGAGCTGCTGCAAAGAAGATACATGGAAAGCCGTCTTATGCTGAACCAGATTGGTAGTGCTGTCCATTCTCATTTGAAATAGTTCTCCCAGGTTTTGAACTCAGGTTTTGCCCAGTCCTATCTGGACCTTTTTTAAAAGCCATGTCTTTTATCAACAAATTGGAACCTTTTCAAGACTTGATTGTTTAAAAGCACGGTCATTAAACTGCAGGCGAAACATCGGAGAAAATGTTGCTAGAATACATCCATACAGCCCGGAAACCACACAATCTTTAAATCACATTTACAGTACTTAAATTGTAAATGCACACTGAAAACATGGCCTGGAGACCACATACAGCCTGCAGGGCTGTTTTGGTAGATCAAGGAGCCTGAAATCTAATTCAGTAATTCAATGCCCCAGATGCTACCTGGAGAGATGTGGGAGACTTGTATAACACATTTTTGCGTCTTCATTTTTCACAAGATTTGCAAGAAATAAAGTGAAAATAAAACCAAACATATTTTAAAACATGAATTGGATAATATGCAAATAGTTGGGCAAAGCTGTGGGATCATTTTACTCAAAGGGGTATAAATTAGCTAAACAAAACAAAGAAAGGAAGAAAAGGCCAAAAGTAGCATTGAGAGAAACTGCAAAATGAAAATACTTTCACAGCCTAAATTTGTGAGTGGGGTTGCCATTTACACTATTGTATTAATGTAGTTCAACACCAGTTTAATTACTTACTTAGGCAATCCTTTGTTGTCCGAGTAGGATAGTCCTCCAAGATCAATGTGCTGGTGGGTCCATAGGTGACTGTGGATCCCTATTCTTGATCTGCATCTTCTCCCGCAGTGAGGGCACTGGTTTCCAGGTGAAAGGCGGTCTCAGTCGGGGTTGGCTTGACGTGCCTTCCTCTTGGCATGTTTCTCTCTTTCACCCTCCATTCATGCCTCTTCAAATTCTACAGCACTGTCGGTCACAGCTGACCTTCAGCTGGAGCGCTCAAGGGTCAGGGCTTCCCAATTCTCAGTGTCTATGCCAGCATCTTTTCCTGCCCACCAACATTCCATTTTCCATTTAATTACCATGGCTTAATGCTATTAAATCCTGAAAATGGTGGTTTATTAAGGCTCTAGCAGTCTTTGACAGAGAAGGCTAAAGGCCTTGTCAAAATAATAATAAACTTTATACAAAATACAATTCCCATGATTACATAGTACTGAACCATGGCAAAGAGCTGTCAAACTGCATTCATTCTACAATGTAGATCAGAGTTTCTCAACCTGGGGGTTGGAACCACTTGGGTGGTCACAAGGGAGTTTCAGAGGGGCCACCAAAGACCATCAGAAAACACAGTTTTCTGATGATCTTAAGAACCTCTTTGGCAGAGAAGGTTGAAGATCTCTCCACCTGTCATTCTCTTCTTTTTTCTTGAAGACAGATGACAAATCCTCGCACCAAAAGCCTTCCTCCTACTGTGATTGGCTGGCCTCTCAGCTGGCCTCTCAGCCAAGGGGAGGGCTATTTCTAAAACTCCAAGCAGGGAGGGGAGAGTAGGTATGCTCAGCGAATGGCAGTGTGATGCACATGTGCAAGTGAGGGAGAGCGTGCAAAGCTGGAAGGCTTGCGTCCCTTCAAGGCAGGAAGAAAAGCGCCCTTTGATTGTAAGTTAACTATAAATTCCAGCAACTACAACTCCCAAATGACAAAATTAACCCCCCCCCCCAAACTCCATCATTATTCAAACTTGGGCATATTGGATATTTGTGCCAAATTTGGCCCACTGAATTAAAATACATCCTGCATATCAGGTATTGACATTACGATTAATAACAGTTGCAAAATTACAGTTCTGAAGTAGCAACGAAAATAATTTTATGGTTAGAGGTCACCACAATATAAGAAACTATATTAAGGGATTGCAGCATTGCAAAGGTTGAGAAACACTGGTGTAGATGCACCCCTGGGTACTTAATAGTGATTAATACCAAGATGTCAAACATACAAATTCTTCCATACTCTATTCATCCTGACCAAAGGAAGAGTGCAAAAGGTGAACTATGGATAAGGCTGACAAAAATTACCTCTCTAACATGACATACAGGTATCTTTATGTCACATTGACTTTTCATTGTAAGTTAAGACCATGGCTAAAGCAAACTAGTACCACTACTTTAATTTTTATAGTCATAAGCATGCAGACAGTATATTTCTTTAGGGGAGGGTGGTCCAATGTAGTCTTGGGAACTTCACTGACTCTGCAAATTCTCAAAAACATTGGCCACCACTCTTCTGTTTGGCAAAGAGCCTCTTTACATTACACAGTGACAGTGATCTGATTCCACCTTAACTACCATGGCCTCATTCCATATAATCCTGGGATGTGTAGTTCTGTGATGTGCTGGAGCTCCTTGGTTGAGAATTCTGAATGGCTCTTCCTGAACAGCAGACCCTTGAGTTCCATAGCATAGAAACATGAAATATGCTAACATGTATTGCTGTCACCTAAACTAAAACAAAAAGAATACTTACCCAAAAGGTTACTGGGAGTAATGCAACATTGCTTCCAGTCACAAAAACTGAGGTTATAATGGCATGACTATTGTCTTCCAAAGGACAAAAATTAGCTAATGGAGCTTTGGGAGTAGGATTGCTTCTGTCTTAAAACTAATTGAAAACATATGGAGAGGTGCTTTTGTTCAAACTCTGCCCATCCCTGTTAAATAACTATCTGCCAAGATAACAGAATGATTTTTTTCAGGAAGACTCAAAGGGAAAATAAGATAAAATCAAAACACAGCAATTTGAGATTCCAAGGTACTTCTGTATTAAGCCTTTTGCAATCCAATTCCTCTTTTGTTTCAGATGCAGGTTGTGTACTATTTCTTGACAAATTTCTGTGGATTTACAGAAGTGCTCAACTGGCAGACATTCAACAAATGGTTTTACATAGAAATGTATCTTCTTAGGAAAATATACGGCTGTCATATTTTTCACAATATGAAAGAAAAGATAAAAGGAGACACGGCATGCATCTACACGAAAGAATTAATGTAGTTTGAAACCACTGTCACTGCTGTTACATATGGAATCCTGGGTGTTGTAGTTTGACAAAGCCTTCTCTGTTAAAATGTGTGGTTCTCACCTGGGATCCCCAGATGTTTTTGGCCTTCAATTCCCAGAAATCCTAACACCTGGTTAACTGGCTGGGATTTATGGGGGTTGTAAGTCAAAAACATCTGGGGACCCCAGGTTGAGAACCACTGTGCCTTACCAAACTACAGATCCTAGGACACCGTAGCATTAAGCTATAGCAGTGAATGTGTCAAACTACATTACTT